CTTTCATAACAGATGATGAAGAAAGCAATATAGAGGGGTGAAAGAGAGTTACTTTTTTGATAAATAGTCCATCATAAAAGTTGATGGCTTCCCCACAACAACTGGTTCTTTTTGAGTTGATCCCCGAATCGCCCCAACCATGGAACCACCACCTGAACCCCAAATATTTAATCAAGTGAGAAATCACATAAATTCATCTATACAATAATCATATGTTACCCGTTCAATCATATACTAATTGGATAAATTTTCGATAAAGCAAAAAAAACATATGAAGTCCTGACTACAGCAGTGGCAAATATGGGAGGAGCCTACTCCAATGCAATCGTGTCCACAAATAAGAAACATGCATTAAATGAAAGTGGAGACATTAACATGCGAGAAGCACCATATTATTGACTATTAAAAGAAACATAAATAAAACATGCACAGCAATAATATCGACTCAACGGTCACTTTGGGTGTATTTCTTCATGTTGATCTGTCAGAATATCTAAACACAGCCTATATTTATGGTGTCTAACAAACCCCGAACACTAGGCAATCTTATGTAGCACTCTTTGTTAAATTAAACATAGTGAAATTTCAACTGATAAAGATGCTGCAATCTCAAGCATAATGCAATCGTATGCATCTTTAGCCACAAGAAATGCATAGCAACATTGTAAAACCAAGCTGCAAGGACACTACCTGGCAATGGGAAAGGCAATGCAAAAATATCATAATAATATGATTAACAAACAAAATAAATAATTGATGGCACCTGAAGTCTGCAGTTTGCTTGCAAAAAATCACAAAAACAAAGCAAATAAATCAAAATAGAATATAGCAAGATAACTATTTTCTCACAAATATAATATTCTTAAAAAATATCACAAGTAAATGCATATCACTAAATCATATGGTAAATAATGTTTCTAAATGAGCAAACATGCCTGCAACGATTGATCTTGTGAAAAAAAAACAATACGAGGATGAATCTTGAATCTCTCTATATATAAAGCATGAAGGAGTTCTTGCCTACCTGTCAATCAAGAATTAGCATGCACGATTTCTTGTCTTGATCACGTGTAGACATTTTTCTCCTTTAGTCTCATGCTCCCAAGGGTACATGATATGTTACATGATCTATTCGGTAAAGTAAAAATTTTGTAGTTCCTCATAATGATGAATATCAAGAATTTTAGCAATTAACATCTAGGAAATAAAAATTTATACGTTTTAAATTAAAAAACTGCTATGAAATAGAGGGAGTATATATACAATATAATCCTACAAATCCATACTATACAATAATTTTCCCTCAAGTTTCCCTGTTTTTTCAACGTAGGCTTTAAAGTGAGGATGATGCGTCATCCCACTAATAAATTTGGTTTTGCTATTCCAAATTTACCCATGATTTTTTTTAAAGACCGTGTAAACCTATTACACTATAAAATCTTTCATTATGTCAATAAACTATTTTGTTAGTTACATAATTTCCTTGAAATGAGCCCTTTATACAAAAATAAAAGTGAATTGCACAACAAACTATCAAATACATTTGAAAGTCATAAATTTTGTATAAAATTTTATATTTTTGAGAAAAATCTTATATAGAATATTTTATTTAATGAGCATAATTTTAAAAAATCAAAATTATAAACATTTAATAGTTCGAAACCGTTTTTCTTCCTTACAATGTGTGATCAGAAAACTATTAGTTTTTTATTCCTTATAATGAAAAGTTTGGAACTAATAGTTCAACATACTTTGATTCCTTATACAGAACTATTTTGGAAAAAAAACCCTATTGATTCACCCCAAAAAATTATCTTGGAAAAAAATAAACATACATGAAAAACGGACATGAGCATAAGTATGAAATATGGGAGGTGGTTTTCAAATATTGGTAATTATGATGGATATTACCATATTTTCCCTTTTAAGTTTAAATCACAATCAACATAATTTTAAAAGGTTCCCTTATTAAAAATTTAATTGATAAATCTAATTGAGTTTAAAATTATAGCTATAACTTAATATTTTTAATTAAGAAATATCATTAATTAATAAATTTTAAATTTAAATTATAATTATGTGAAAAGACAGTATAATTTTATTATTTTAATGTCACCAATATCTAATTCCCTAAAAGAGAACTTAAATTATAATTATCTGAAAATACAGTTGAAATTTTATTATTTTAATAAATAATTCACCAATTATCTAATTCCCTAAAAGAGAACTTATCTAAAATAAATTTATTTTCATAATAAATTTGGTGCATAGATGTCAGGCAAGAAATGTATGTCACAGGTATGGTAAGTATCATGTCCGACTGAGCTTCCGTTACTCGAGTGATCCTCTTTGATAATAAAGTTTGTAATCAACGAACTAATAGCATTACACGAAAAAATCTATAATTGCATGCTCCTTCAGCTATATGCTTCCTGGCCTTTAGGAACTCAAATTCTATTTTTGTCTTTAAAAAACACGTATGATATTTTAAAAGTAAATTTATAATTTTTAAAACCATATAAAATAACACTATATAAGTCTTTCTAGAGGATAATTAAATGGTATGTTCATTTGGGAGCATATTATACAAATAATTTATTCCATTGAATACCTATTAGACGCACTATGTATCAACATAAATGCTATGGAGGAAATTGTGTCACATCTTATCCATTTTCCTTTGAGGTTCTTTCAAAAAGGAATTATCGTTCTTTTAATATTGGAATTTCGTTAGTTCAAAATAATTTAGTAATTTCTTAGTATTAGTTAAAAACTTTTATATCATGTAAAAATAATTTTTACTCATGACAATTAAAAGAATAATTTATTTTTATTGCAGTTTTGAATATAAAAATATTTACTCGAAAGCTGAGACACCTTAAAATTTATAGTTCTCACAATTATAAATTTAGTTTTCGTTATGAAAACTTTGTTCTTAGAAAATGTTATTAAAAAATCATTATTTATGAGTGAAAAAGTTTTTCTTTGTTTTTTAGTTTAGCATTTTGTTAGTTCAAATTAACTAACTAATTTTTTCATATTAATTAAAAAAATTTCTATATCAAAACAAAAAATAAAATAATTTTTACTCATGAAAATTAAAATCAGAGTTTATTTCTATTGCAGTTTCAAATATTACAAGGTCTACTTAAAAGATTAGACACATTAAATTTTGTTGTATTAATAAAAATCAAATTCCATCTTAAAGTAAAAATAATTCTCAAATATATAAATTTTTTGGTCATGAAAACTTCTTTTCTTAAAATAACATTATTAGAATTATTATTTATGAGAGAGACTTTTTGAAATCAATTATTTCAAAAGGCAATATACATTGCAATTTAACCCTTCTTTTGTTTAAAAAAAAAAAAAAAAATTCCTCAAAAGATATACATTGCAATTTATAATTTTTTATTAATAAAATTTCTATATTTGCTTTGAGTAAAAAGAAAAACCTTCTATATCACACAAAAATAGCAGAGTGATTAGCTCCTGTATTTTTACCCAATTTAAAAAGTTTGGTTCTTTAATATTTGATTATTAAATATAATTTAGTTTAACATCATAATTATAAATAAAAATTTAAATCTAATTGACTTAAAAAATGTAACATTAAAACAAAGTTAATTTACTAAAAAAAACAAGTAATATTAATTATAGACAAAGCTATAATAAATTTTTAGCAAAACCACAATTAAAAAAACTTCCATTGTTTAACTTCGACATTATCAAAATACAAGTTCAGTGGGTGGCACATTATATTACCATCACAAAAATAACACATGGCACTACTCTAAGCAGTATTTTACTCATGATTAATATATTTAATGAAAGTCTTCTAATTTTTCTGAAACGGATTCAAATCATCTAGTATTCTTAATATAGTGGTGTAGCACATAACTAGCCTAGGAAACACGATTGCTTAAATCTCACAATATTTGATTCGGCAACAAGTAATGGAACTACAAGGAGAGAAACAAATGAGATGTCAGAGAAAGATTGAACCTGCCCATTCTTGAGCATCTGTGAGATGAGTAACAGCATCGCGATTTGTAGCAATAAAAAGACAGCCTGGATTTTCACGAATGCACAATGTCCCGTACCTTCCATATTGAAGCAAACCATCAGATATCAACAGAGAAAAAAAAAATCACACTGCATAGTAAGAAACATGCACCGTAAGTATCCAGGCATATCGATTGATGAATACAATGGATCAAGTTTCTCACATAAGAACAAGAACCAAAGTCAAAACATCTGTTATCTGGTTGACAATATGATCATCATGCAGAAATGTAATAAACCTCATGGATTTGATCTTGAAAGTAATGCATAGATCAATTCAAAGGAGAGGATACTGAGTATTTGAAACAATACAAATGAAATGCTCCTATATCTTAAAAAACATTCCTTATTTCCACCTGATCAATTTGTTTCATTCTTCTATATATGAGCCTAAAGAATCCAGCATGATTCTTTTAGTACTTATTTACCTACTCTCTCTTTTTTTTGGTCATTTTTCAATTTCTTCCATAATGTCATATCTGCATCATATTACCACAAAAGGAATCAAATTAACCAGTTGTGTCAACCTTAAAGAGTGTTATACCACCATTATGCTCACTTGACCAAATAAATCTGAGGCATATACATTAGTCCCTCAATTTATCCTTTCAGTATATTATCTGATTTCCATCCCTCCTCTGCAAATGAATAGAATGCCCTCTTAGACATTGCAATTTTCTTGATTTCCTCGATTCTAGTTATAGACTATGTATATGGCATAAGAAGGTTGCTTCTCAATCCTATAGATAGTTGGCTGTGAAATAAGTTTAGGATCTGAAGCAGAAACCATACATTTTATCTTCCACAGCCACCTTAAAGCCAAAGTGTTATAACGGAAATGGGTATAACTTAAAGTAAATGGTACCACCTAAAGTTCATTTAGTTGTTCAATGTTCAACTGATGTTCAGTGAGATTATCAGTGCCTGAGACATTCATGGTTATTCAAAACATGCCAATATTGTTTGGCACAACAGCCCAAAAACTGCTATGTTTGGCAATTCCAGAAAAGCATGGTCTCTCATCTTCAGACTTAAAAATTTCCGGCACTTCAAGGTAACTACCACCATATATGTTGGCACTTTTGAATAAGTTTCTAATACTTGCAAGTGTCACCAATGCTTCTCTCTACTTCTGAAAAAGTGTCTAATTCTTCGAATAATTGTTAAATTGCTTGCCATTGCGTGAGCTAGGAACAGCTAACACCAAATATGCAGGTCATACATCATGTAAGACAATAAATCTGACCAATATATAGACAGGGCACTCCAAAACATAATCTTTAAAAACTATCTGTTAGATCATTTTCAAACAAAAAAGACTACCGAGGTTCTATTTGCATGCTCACAGACCTCCAATTTCAGTTAACTGGAAGTACAGGTATATAGAAAATAGAAACAATTAAATTACTATGCTTATCATTTTTTAAATACTTACACATTATAAAAAACCTGGAAGTGAGTCAATGAAACATACCAACAAAAAAGCAGACAAGAAGGAACAACGAAAAACTTACTGAACTTTGTAGTAGTTGAAGTAACGATCAAATCCAACTACAACAGCCCCAACCTAAAATGACACAGAACTTGCTTAAACTTAAGTAGGTTTGACAAAAATGTCCAATGAAAGGAAAAGATGAGAATATCAATTGTGTCTTCAGTAATGGATCGAGATAATGGAACAGCTCAACAAAGAATTTTGATGAAAAAAAGGAGGGAGACTGGCATACATTCTCATCGTGCTCCATATAAAATCCAGGTTTCAGCTCAATCTTCTTGTTGCCATCATCCTGAGGAACGATATGCACAACAGAATTACGACAACTTTCCAGCAGAGCCTAACTATTTTGTGAGTACTAAACACTCAAATTCAGGTTATAATATATAAAAAATAAACATATTATTATAATTATTGCCTCAACAAGATACTTGAAATCCTAGAAACCAAACAAAAAACACTGGCCTACCACTAGGTATAAATATTTAAAAAATATCAATGATGTAAGGAAAGAGATGCAAATGTGGATTAGTAGCAAATATATGTATCCTCGGGTCCGTGGAGTCAACCATGAAAAATGTCTCATTCAACTGTGAACAAGGAGTCATCTGCGTTATCATATTATTGGCTTGTTCATCGCCTTGGCCTCTTATGTAGCTTGAATAACATCTTCACTATGGAAATTGATAACAACTCCACCACAAATTGTAGCATATAGCGTAATCAGTTCACTAATTCAATCTCCTCCACTTAAATTTATGCGTTTCACAACTAAATAATGATCTAAACCAGCATTGCATTATCAGTTTTCACAATCATAACAGATAGCCTAAAACATCAGAGGTAGTATTGAATTTCAGCTCTCTTTTTGGTGGGGACACTCTCACTGCATTGGAGGTTTATTTCTCTCTATTAATGTTATGAACAGTACCAGTAGACACACGATATTAAGTGAAGAATCAGAATGCTTCTTCATGGTACTTTATCTCGGAAGTATTTTGGGCCCACTGAAGTAGTTTCTAAACATCGAGAAATCTCGGCTCCCACTGAAAGGATCCTGTGTTGGTTTTCAGGTCCTAGAAAACCATAATAGGGGAGCTCTTTAACTTAATAGTAATTTGCTTCAAAAATGAAGGTTGCATAAAGAAATCAATGAATTGAGAGTTAAAAGCTCAAGATAGAGTGCTATAGATCTTAACAGAGTTGCTTGATTTCGAGTGTATTGCTTGCTCTTGTGTGTTGCCGGCTCTTGTGCATTGATGGCTCTTAACAGCCAAAAAAATGATAATTCCGTTAGAAAAACAACATTTTAACAGCAGAACAAATGACAGTCGTTAGGGTAATAGCTTAAAGCAATATGACTGAACTTAAAGCTCAATGAGCATGAAGCTCTACTCTTAAAGGCAGAATAAATGCACTGGCAAATAGCTCTACTCTTTTTCTGTGGAATAGATGCACTAGTAGCAATGCCATTAAGAAGATAACTGTTAATGGTGGAATAGATGCACCAGCATGAAGCTCTACAATTGACAAAGGAACAAACGCACTAGTAACAATGCCCATAAGAGGATAAATTCTATATTGAAACAAACAACCTGCAAAAATTAACTCAAACACGGTAAGTTTGTGCTTGATTTGGACCCAGAGGAATGAGAAGCCCTCCTTGTCTTCTAGGCATTCAATGCCCTCGACTTGATTTCTCAAGACGCAACAGCATTATGGCATGGATAGCCCCAAGGTATGGCCCAATGAACAACTGTATTCACTCTTTAGAATGCATGCCCAAATAGATGGCTAGAGACACATACAGTTAACTGAAAACTTGAATCTTGGAAGAAGAAACTCCAATTTGACCTTTGGACAGGTATGTTTTAGTGCCGGTTCCACCTTGAACAAGAATGACAGATGAATGTTAGTGATTTGAAATACAAATCACTAACATTTTGTTCCAAAATAATTCTACCACTCAGTCCATGACCTTCGCTACCTAACATTCACTATACTGGGCATGGGCCTGGTCATCATCAAAGTGTGAAAATAATTCGTGTAAGTCAAAGTAATTCGGAACTGTAAGCTGTTAAATGTATTCTTCATAATCTTCACAGAAACCCATATGGCATTTCCACCTGGCCTCTCGAACTTCATGGTCTCATCCTTCTTGGATGTGGATGGACCACATACCTATGTTGTCCAGGCCTGGCATAACCATGTGACCAACGGAGATAGGTTACAAGAATGCCAGATCTTTTTATTCTCATATGGTCATAATCCTTACTGGGAGATTGTAGACCAATTTTTTTAAAATCCTTGATGCAATCTCTTAAACATCAAGCAGAAAGAATACAATCAAGGAGACATAACAGAAAAATCCACAGCATATTAAGTCAATTAAACAAAAGGACAATGCATATGAAGACCAGTTTGGACTTCCATGCCCGCACCACATATATCAAAATCTTCTAATTTGTATGGTAATACAAGCCAGTGTATTGTTTCGAAAAAAAATACAAGCCAATGTATGAAGTCAGCACAAAACATCAAACTATGACTCCTAGATTCCAAATAAGGAATTCATAATGTGAATTCTGTAGACACAAGCAAAGCATATGTGAACTTTTCAGGTCGTCACATTTTTGAGAAAAGCATATCATATGTTTCTAGGACATATCCATGAAAAAAGTAGACAAAATTTGGTAAAGGATGCGAGAGGCAACAAAACACTGATGGTTCATTTCAAATCTAAACTATATTCGGGTATCATAGCAGAATGACACTTGATAACATGGGTATAAATTTCATACCGGGCCACCAAGGTATTGAAACCCGGCAAGCTCTAGCTCCTTCAAAATACCATCCTCCCCAATCACATAGACCTGCAAGTTCAAAAGTTCAACACGAGATAACAGATGAACATAAATTTGTAACAAATTATTAAACCAGATGAGAATTGCCTATAGGTCTATAGTCAGTTTCCATATAATAAAGGTAACATAAAAATTAAAGGTTCTTACCACCATACAATGCATAGCTTTTCCTCAAACAAATATAGAAACAAGAGAGACATACTAAAACAAAAGCTACCAAACATTCATATGCCACAACATTTAAATAAGACAACTAAGGGTGAGCAAAACCGCAAAAGCATTCAAGTTCCTAAAGTGTCAAACACGTGTGTGTGGTGTGTCCACACAAACACATGTCTAAGTTAAGTTATATGGTTTCCAGTCAAATACAAGATGATAATAAAACTAATAATCCATCTAATGGAATTTAAAACCAGTGGAACTTAAAACCAGCAATGATATCCCAGAGTGACCAACAAACAAAACTTCCAGCTCTCATGCCAAAGGAAGGAAAAAGCAGAACCGCCCATGTGAAAAGCATGTCAGCGGCAATTATGATGTATTGCACAGAAATTATGTTGCACACCTTTTTATCCTTGGGAAAATCGATAGACTGTAAATACGCTGACGCAGCAAAAGATGATGCAAATATCTCCTCCTGCAATTACTCAATTCAGATAGGTATGCAAATGTTGCCAGAGAAAAAGAAGCATCTTGAGGAACTTATATTGAGCTAACCTCGTTTACAGCAAGACCAAGCGTTTCAAATTTTTTTCCGTATTGTTTCCTTGACTTGGTCGAGTTGTTAGTGACGAAGACCAATCTCTTCCCCTGAAGAAAATGACAGAGAAATAACTCCACATGTTAGACTTTTGACTAATTTATTGCTTTGGTGATTTACAGGCTAGCATGACTAAGGCTGGTGTTTGAAAGCGCTAAAGAGACACTAACTTCCTTGAGAAGCTTGCAGCCACAATGGAGCATCAGCTAGACTAGGCTATTGTTTACAAAGATAATATACAAAGGTTTCAAACAGTCCACAACTACTGATTTTTCTTTTTTTTCTTTCGCATGACATGACTTCATAGTGCATATTAGGACTAAAGTCACCACGACAGTTAGCTCCCTGGTTAGTCTCGTGTGTCGATACATGCTGACACTTCATGACACCTCAATATATAAAACAACAGTAAAACGAACAATGAAAGGGCCCATGGCAAGGTTTGAACCCAAGCCATCTTGCCCCCCCCCTTATGGCAAGGTTAGAACCCAAGCCATCTTGGCCTCCATCCCATAATCACCTCCCCATCTACTTCTTATGTGTTATAGAAAGGGAAATCTACTGTGTATATTAAAAAGAATGATATATAAACACTTAAAACAGTAATCGTATGCGCGTATCTAGCCTTGTCGGCTTTTTAGTCTGAAGTACTTGACACACAGTGATTACAACACAATGTATAGTAGTACTAAAAGGTAGTCCTTTCTTACTTCATTACACATTATTACACCATTCTGACAGAGATGGCGAGCTTCGGTTACGAATAAAAAATTAATTACCAGCATATCACAGTTAGATCTACCAACCAAACAAAAATGTTTCAGTAGAATGTTCTTCAAAAACCCATTAACAATGGACAATCCAAAGCCCTGAATTAACAAAGATGTTGAATAGTAAATATATAAAAACTATGACAAAATAGTGGGAGAAAGAAAAAGTCAAGATTTTATCAACTGACCTTGGATCTTAGCATATCCAAAGTTTCTGGGACACCTTCAATAAGATTATCGCCCTTCCATATAACGCCTACCATTATGGAACACAATCAAAGACTAAGTGTTATTACTTACCAAATTTCATTCCAAATCTGAAACTTCAGTTTCAGGTTATCAGCCAGCCAGAATCGAAATTCCCATACTTCAGCTTGAATTAACTTTATATAATTTCTTTCAAAACTAAAAAAAGAAAAAGGAAAGAAATGGTGGCTTAATTGAGGAGTTCATTTGTAATCCAAAACTTCATTATATTAAATAGGCGGAAAAACTAAAAATTGCTCGCCACCAAGCTTTTTTCTGCAGAATATGAATTGTGCCATTAATGTAGTAAACTAACAACTTATAATAAAAAAGTAATGATACCGTGAGACCCTCCGTATCCATGTGAGTAGAACTCAAATGATTACCACTAAATTTTGACACATATCTCTAAAAAAGTTATAACATGAACATGAGACTTGAGTGAACGATCCTTTTGATAGAGATCTATGGAAAACCCATTCACCCCAAGTCTCACGATCCTTTTGATAGAGATCTATGGAAAACCCATTCACCCCACACGTATGTCGTAACTTTTCTATATATCTACGTCAACATTTAATGGTTACCTTTTGGGTAATATTGAAGGAGAAAAATGCCTATAATGATTATCTTTCATACCCAAGGGTATAAAGGTCATATAAAAGAAGTTCAGGGATATTTGGGTCACTGATGAAGATAATTGGGGGTCATTGGAAGGATCGGACCTTGTCTCAACAGTACCATCATCGTCCAAAATTTAAGTAAATTCCCTCCAAAAAAACAATTATTTTTAAAGAAAAAGGGAAATTCCATTTCTCTCCAATCCATAAAAAATGAGGAATAACATTCTTTAAACTTAAAGTCAACCATTTTATCTGCAAATTTGTTCAAAACCAACCATCCTTCTCTACAAAATGGTCTCAATTTATCACAAGAACGACACCATAATTCATCAGAAAATTCAGCCCAAATTGGGAGCTGAAACATCAAAATATAAATAAATAACACAGAGTAAACATTAAATTCACAAAAAGGAAAAAACAGCACCCCAACTCATCAGAAACAAGAAACAGAGAAAACCAACATAAACAAAAGCAAATAATAAGAATTTAAAAGAAATAAATCTCTCACAGAAAGGCGAAGCATAAATTCAATGATCAAGAAAAAAACATATTATACCATCGCAATCAAAGATGAAGGTCTCCACAGAGTTGATGAGTTCATTGGCGTCCTTGAGGGGCTCAGCAGAAGCAGCCTTCACGCTAAATTTAAAGGAACCCAGCATTCTAGAGCAGCATTTAGAGTTGTTTGAGCAGGGAAAAACCAATGGCGAAGCTGAAATCCTGTGACCCAAAAACCCTAAATTTTGAAATTTGGGAGCAAATGTGGTTTTCAGAGAGAGATTAAGCGAAGCAACTATCGAAGAAGAAGCTCTGGTCACCATTTTTTTCGCCCTTTTTCTCGTTATTTACGAATTTATCCATTATAAATACATGTACGCTTGCTTAATAAGACTATGACACTATGACGGAAATGCCCATGTCCTTTGCAAATTATCGTAATTGGCATATTCCCCACACTAGCCCTCTGCCCTGAAATTATTAGGGAAAATTATTAGAAAACCTCCAATTTGCACTTTTTAGTCACACCACGCGATTATATTTTTTACACCACACGGCATTTATTTTTAATTTTTTTTATTTTTATTTTTACATCCGTCTTTTAAGTAAAAAGTTCAATATTTTAGACTAAATTACCCTTATTCAACATAATGCACAACATTTATTATGTGGGTCCGATACAAAAATGTGTTGTATTGGGCACAAAAAAAATGTGTTGGACTGGTTCAATACAAGTTGCGTCGGTTCAGCACAAAAAAGTGTCGGATCGGCTCTATGTTCATATGGCGTCAATCCTATACAAACCAACTTAGAGTTAAAAGTAAAAAATGTAGCAAAAAAATAAAAATTCATTTTTATCCAAAAAAATTATCAACTTTTTTGTACTTAGAGGGGATTGTTGCTAAAAATAATAACAATTTTGAAATCAAAAGTGTGGTATAAAAAACGTTGATAAATGATACAAAGTACAAAATGGGGGTTAATCTATAGTTTTTCCAAATTATTATCCTACTTTTTATACATTTTTTTGAGAAATTTATCAAAATACCCATGCGAGATATATTATTTAATATTTCACTCATTTCTTACTATTTCAAATAATGATCATGTATCCTTTCATGGGCATTTTGAAATTCAACCTACACTGTAGGTACAATGTTAAATAGCTTATTTCACATAAGTATTTTGATTATTTTTTATTATTTTTTATTTTTGAATATAAATGGTGGAAATAAATCTCAAGACATAATGTTGGAGCACCCTAATTCTAACCACCTGTGCGTCAAGCCCATTCCCTATCTTTCTCCTTAGTTAATGCATGTCTTAACACTCATTGGTGTTACATGGTCGCTACCGACAACTGTTATATGTGTTTTGACACAACAATGATTTACATGCCAACAATACAATTCAATTGCTCTATTTTGAGTGAATCAACAATAATATTACATAATAAACGTATTGCATAGTTATCAATGCTTTTCTTACCATGTGATCAAGATAAAAAGTCAGTACTCTTTAAATGCGTATTGACACAATGGTTTCAACAATGTGGTCAATTGGTATTAGCTATTATTGTCAAATCATTATTAATATATAATATAGTTGTCAGTTCACTCATAATGATTTGATTAAAATAAAAAATAGTACCCGAATATCCTCATCATCTAAATATTTTCTCAACTATTTATATCATCTACATGAATTCAGATATGTCATTATGTTATATCGAAGTTATATCCCAAATGAGGCTACAAGTTCCTATATATTTTCTCACAACTTCAAATTATGTCTTTTTGAGCTTAATCCTTACTTTTTTTTAGCATTCCACTTTAACCAACTCGTAAGGTTGAGAATGGGTCAGATCGAATCCAGATCTACCAGGATACGGATTCGGATATGAAAGTATACATGGGATCCAAATCCGATTGGATCTAGAATATTTGGATCCAGATCCACATATGAAAAGTTTATATGGGATATGAATATGAATTCGGATGCAACAAAAATATTTTATATTTATAAAATATTATATAACAAAAAATAGTATACAATATATATTTAAAAAATAGTATGCAATATATGTTTGTGTATATATAAAATAATATATAGTATTTTAATAACCGAGTTGGATCCAGATCAGATCCACATGTACCCATATCCAATCCGAATTACTAGTTAGGTCCAAGATTTGGATTTAGATCCAAATATTGGACCCATACCCAATCTAGATCGGGTCTAAAATTTGGTTTTTAGGTCGAATTAAGTAAATTCTCAAATTGGGGGTAGTTTTCTAATTTGACATAGATGTCTCTTTTCTTTTTTTAGAAGTTTCTATAAGGCCTAGTTTTTATGAAAACAAAATAAAGCCTCACCTCAAAATCCTTATCTGGAGAGCACTTCAGCAACATAAATCTCCACGATGGTTCTAAAATCAATTTCCAACACCAACAAAAAAATCTAAAACTAAAAAAATACAAATCTTGCGGATCTAGGAACACTTATTTTTGGGCCAAAATGGGCAAATTGGGTAATTTGTTACAATATACACTATTTTTAGAGCTTGAAATCTTAAAATTTTTTCACAACCATAATGTTCAAGCTAAGATGATCGATGTAACGGTTTTTCAATGCTTGAATTGCAATTTTCAAAGAGTTATGAGGTGAGAGGTGAAACTGTACTTATTTGATAGTGCTTCAACCCTATCATACCATTTTCTTTTCTTTTTTTCTTTTTTTCAGAAATGCATGCTCCCTGCTCCCAGCAGCGAACAAAATATTTTTTATTCTTGGTATTGGCACACCAAACTAGTTTATTGTTTTTTCTTACAAATTAAAGTTTGTTATTTTGAACCTGAACTTGATTTTGTAAAAAACAATTAAGTTTGGTACTCAATAGTACTGAAAATGTACCGAACTTGGTTTTTTTTTTTTTCAAGATCAAGTTTGGAATCAAAGACCTGCACTTGATTTTTTAAAGAAAAAAACAAGAAACTAATCCAGTACTACCAATATCGAGTACCAAACTTAAGGGCATTCTGGGAAAATTTAAGTTCAAGAAAAAGGAACATCCGTAAAATTGGAAAAAATTTGGTCATTTCTTTAATATCGTTAAAAGCAAAATAAGGATGTTTATGTTAATTTCCCCTTAGTATTTTGAAAAAGGTGCGGTTTCTATGAGGTTGCAACTTTAAACAATCCAATTAAGATGTACCTTAAAATTTTATTATAACATGTAATTTTGTTGTAAAAAATATTTAGTATTATCTTAAAATCTATTTTTACACTTAATTTAAAAATTTTTAAATTTTAAAAATAGTTAAAATCAAGTACATCTATAAATATATGAAAATCTTGAAAATAAACGATCTAGATAATGTGTTGCAAAAAACACTATTTTAGGGACTCAAAAACCTTTTTTTTTTTTCATATTCATGCATCTCGATGTCAAGATAATCATTTAGAGGGTTTTTCAACATTAAACAACATTTTCGATAGATTTTTGAAGTGCATATGTGATTCTACATTTTAAGGTAGCAACCTTATATAAATTTTTCCCTTTTGGAAAACAATGATCATTATTTTAATTTTTCTTAATTAGTAACAATTAATTTATTAATAAAATTGACTCCGATATCACATGTGTGAGTACATTTCATCACTTCTCATTTATATTACAGAATTTATGTGGTCCAGGTGAAGCACAAAAGTCAT